AAGATCTATGGAGTTCTCCAAGGGCTGATTTGGGGTGCCATTTTGGTGGGAGATGATTGTCATCTTGTCAAACCAACAAGCTCCAATCAGATTTGGTTGTTGAGAGAATCAGTGAGCTAGTTGGTTCAAACTTGAATGCAACAGCTCAAATGTATCTGGACCCTTTTTGGGCTGAATAAGGGCATATGAATTGGTGGTCATATGATGACCATTGGTTCAGAATTTTGACTAGATAAAGACCTAGTCTTATGAGGATTCAAAGGGGAGGTTGTTGGGATTTTTGAATTGCAACAACTCCACATTTGTCTCACTCATTTGTGCACCACTTTCATTATAAGTAAAGTAAAAATTCTGATTTGATACACTAATTCTCTCCCTCTCTTGTGCGCCTAGTTGGTGAGTTCCTTCTTAAGGTTTTTCAAAAGAACCTAGCCAATTCTTCTATATACCATTCCCACTCTCGTGAAGTTTTCATGCTGGAGACTTCACTCTACTAAACACATATACCTAGCCTCCTTCTTCACCTATTGAGCGCATAACAAGCCTCTCTGTGGTGGTCAATTGGTGGCTTTCAAGAAAGCGTTCTTGCATCTTGACATGGGTGGTGTGCATCAATGTTAGAGGGTTTGAACCCTTCAAACCTAACACTGATCGTCTTGAAGTTTTGAACTCACAAACAAAGGTAACATCACATGCCATAAAGCATGATTCTTGATTGCATGTGTAATTCTGCATATGAAAAATTTTGTTTTTCCCTCTCACATGCTACGGCCTTCAAGGCCATTTTACTTTCATATAGTACATATGTGTCCCATCTGGACTTGACTGGGTGATGCTTGCCTTTCTTTTTGACTTTTACCAGCCTCCCGACTTCCCTTTCTAGGTGGGCTCCGACTACGGTCTGGTTGCCTGTATTTATCTTCTTTACCTCCTTCTCCTTCTCCCCTTCTCACATACTTCTGCAACTTCCCTTCTTTGATCAGTCGTTCGATAACATTCTGCAAGTTATAACAGTCATTCGTAAAATGTCCGTACCCCCGATGGAATTCACACCATTTTGTTTTATCCGCTTGCGCGTAACTCGACCGAATGGGTGGCGGCCTTGGGAATTTTCTCATTTCAGTGGACATTACTTCCTTCAATATCTGAGCTCTAGATGTATTGAACGGTGTGAACTCCCTCCTGTACGCCTCTCTGAAGCTTTCTCCAACCAAACGAGGTCGCCTCTCTTCAAACTGCCCCCTTTCCGTTGGTCTCTCTGGTCTCCTACTTTGAGCTGTTTCTCAGAAACCCTGTTCAATTTTCTTTTTAGAGGATTTAAATTCCTCCAAATCAATGTACTTCCGGATTCGTTCTAACAAATCTTCCTTTGTAGCTGGGCACTTTTTGGCTAACGAGTTCGCCATCCCTCCGGGTTGTAAACCAGTAGTGAACAACAACAAATACGTCTAATTTTCTAACCCCTTGACTTTCCTTGCTTTTGCTTGAAAACGTTCATAATAATCTCGCAACTTTTCTCTGGGCTTTTGCCTTACTCTGCACAAATTATGCGTGGTTTTGGGCTGGGGTCCACAATGAGCAAATTGCTGCGTAAACTGAAGTGATAACTCTGCCCAACTTTCGATGGGATTATCCGACAAAGCCGTAAACCACTCCAAAGCTTGTTTTCTCAAAAACACAGGAAATGTTCGACATAACAAAGAGTCTGATCTCCACATAGGGACATTGCTGCATAAAAAAAAAGTTACAAACTCCTTCGGATCCGAGCTCCCATCATATGCCTTCATATCCTTTGGTTGCTTAAACCAAGTCGGGATCGGTTCCGCTCTTAGCCTCCAAGACAAAGGGGTTCCTGATGGCCCTTGATTTATTGGTTGCACAGGGCACCCTTGTTGCGCGTGTGTTTGTTGTTGTGCTCCTCCGAGTTGTCCATTCCATCCGGGCACTGCTTGCCCCATATTCATCATTTTCCCTTCGTAGAAATGAGGACCAAAACCTTCTGCTTGTCCTGGTCCATAATATTGATAACCAAGATTCGTTGGGTTATTACCTGCCTGCCGTTTGTTACCTCCTTGCCCTTGATCTCTCCCCAAGTAATAATACTCGGTTTCTTCTAGCGGGAACTCGCCCCTATGGTAAGCATAACTTCTTCCACCTTATGGCCTCCTTCTTTGATAAGTCTCTTCGTACCGCCCTCGATTTGCCTCTTGTTCTTCTTGACGAGTATAATAATGGCGGCTTCCCGGGTATTGCTCTTCTTCCCAATTTTCCCCTTCAAATTGTTTGCCCTCCATATTCTGGTACTTTCCCGTTCTTCCTGTTCTCCGGGCATGATCATCATATGCCCGCTCTTCCATTCTCTGATTTGTTCCTCGTCCTCTACCTTGATAGCCCATCCTTTCTGAAGGACTCCTTGACTCTCGACAAGGTTGTCCTCTCCTTATTTCAGTTCCTCTATTCCCTTCCGCAGTTGGGTGCGACAATGGAATATAACTAGGAAAAGGAGACAAGGGATCTCCCCCCTGTTAGGAGACTGCTGCACATTTCCTGCAGGTTGTCTTTCTTCTGAACCACGTCTCCTTTGTCCTCCTTCTTGATGCTGCTTATTCCTTATGTCTGCTACTAACTGAATTAAAGCTTCTCCAATGGTGTTCAGAGACCGACTCCTTCCACTGGATCGAAAAGAGTCTTCCTCTCCTTGGTAACCTCCGTCCCCCACCGCTCGCTCGTCATGGTTATGGCTTGCCATGACACAAGAGAATGCGTAGGAATCTTTTTACCTATTCCCACAGACGGCGCCAAATGTTCTGGATGAACATCAATATGGATTCTGTCTGGTTAATGTCTACCTGATCTTAGGCACCTATCCTTGATATATATAGCTCTTGCTTAGGCAGTTACTTTAAATGTGGGCGGTTATTGCTACTATCATGAAATTGTGGTAGGGCCTACTTTTAGTTCTAATACGTGGGTTTTTACCCTGGTTAACTAACTAATCATCCGGGTAGGAGTCCTTCCGGATTCGTCAACCGTTATCTTTGCTGGTAACACCCGGACGTATGAACCCGGAACAATAACTATGTTAGAATTCGTAGTAAATTTTTTTCTTGATAAATTTGTGTAATTACAATAAATATTTTGATAATATGATATGTCAAATTTTTTAGTACCACCTAAATTTTTGGGTCGGCTCCGCCATATGTTGTTCCGATAATGATTGAACAACGTAAACATTTGAAATTATTGTCACCTATCCCAGTCATCCAAAATTCATTACGGATACGGTGCCTTAATGGCCTTTAGCAACTCTTCTTGTTGTGTATAGGACAGCCAAGTATTTCGTTGAGTACGACATCAAACTGCATGACTATAACCTAGTTAAAGGACGGTGTCAATTGCATTTTGCAAGGGAAGACAAAAAAAAATTAACTATATCGCATAATATCCTCGTTTAGCAGTTGTGGACCCTTGAAAAATTAACTACATCGCCTGATACCCTTTTTCTTATTTGGCAATTGGCACAATTGTAACTTGTCGATTACAGTCACACAGTGCATAAGATAGGCTTTTTATTAAATGCACCTAGGTAATTCATCTCTTAATTACTTTTATTTTTCTTAATGTATATTCTTTTATTTTTTAATATATTTTAAAATTTTCTTAAATTTTTTTGTCCGAGAACACTGTCCTCAAACTCTACTACTAAATATGTAAACATAAATAAAAATTTTTGGATCGGTCACTCAACTTGTCATTATTGAATTATAGTACACATGGATAACATGATAAGATTTCAACCTAATCTACTCCAGTCCATGCACAACCATAATTTATAATCAACTATTTGTGTTGGCCTTATAGAGTTTAGGCATTCTTTTTTCTCGATCAAAATGATGGTGTTAAAATTTGAATTTGTGAGCTCATATAAATTATTTAAGCCCCTCACTGCAAATCCACAAGTCAAATGTTAATTTTTTAGGTGCTGGTACTAAATGTACTAAACGATCATATTATTTATCATAAACCATGGAGACGTTAGCTCCATGTCACCGAAAATTGATTTCTAAGAATGACATTTGCCCAATATTCTTATTCCTGTTGGATAAGTGGGGTTTGCTCTATTTCAAAGACGTACAGAGACATTTTTTTTTTTTAATACATAAGAGACATTTTAGTTTAAGTGTAAAAGTGACATACTGACATTTTTCCTAAGCAAAATTACACGAAAGTAATTGATATTAATAATAAAAAAAATCTTCAAAAAGTGCAAGTTTAATAATCTTATTATCTATTGTTAGAAAATGATAGATGTCATTTTAAACATTTAAATTTAATAGTTAAGATTAAGTAATATTATGAAGGGATAAATTATTCTACCTACTGTTATTGTTTGGAGATAGGTTATTCCACTACTTTTTTTTTGTCTATCTTTGCTTATTACTTCTGATATCATTAGATCAAAATCTCAATAGAAGAGAGAAATGATAAAAGTTTTGTTGGGAAAAGTTTACTCATTTAATATGATCTCCGAACTCGAAAGGATTAGTGTTTGACTATCGGTCAGAGGGTATCTTGGGAAAAAAAAATCATGAATTCCTCCTCTTACATAATCCTTATTTAATTAGTATAAAAATTTATCGCTCCCCTTTAAATTCTCAATATTATTCCCTAAAATGCGAGTCTCAATCCCAACAATCTCTACTTCATATCCTACAGTGATCTCTAATTTTATAAAGAATAGTACTAATAGAGAATCGGGTTTATATTTAACCCTATATAAACGCACATATTTATTGAGAGTGAACTTTTAAAGTAAATTTAGCTGACTCGTGGATAATCACATGAAGAGTGGGCTTCTAAAGTTAATTATGCTGACTCAAATTTTTTTATCATTATGACATTTTTTGCTCAGGATATAACATATATAGTCAAATACTTCATTTCATATATTTTTTAATTATTGTGTGAGCAACTAACTAGAGCAAGTCCAAAGTACTCTTATGGAGAGAGCAAAACTCAATGTAAGATCAATATCCTTTGTTTTCCTGTTATTTCTGAGCTTCAAACCATTCTTTTCAAAGGCACAATCTCCAAACTATGTGGGAGATGATTGCCATAACACAACCCAAAAACCTCTCAGCAGTGCATACCAAACCAATCTTGATAGCATCCTCTCATGGCTATCGATTGATGCAGCCACAAGCAAAGGTTATAACCACACAATCATAGGCAACAACACTCTCAGAGATGCTGTGTATGGCCTCTATGATTGCCGTGGTGATGTGGCTGGATACTTTTGTCAATTCTGTGTCTCTACTGCTACCAGAGAAGTTCTTCAGCATTGTCCCAACAGAGTCTCTGCTGTTATATGGTATGATTTCTGCATTCTCAGGTACTCTAATGAGAACTTCTTTGGGAATGTTACTATAGACCCATCATGGCATGCTTTTGGAACAAAAAACATCTCTAGCTTAAATGAGAGTAAGAAAGGTGAGGATTTTATGAGAAGTCTGATCAGAAAAGCAACTAAGGAGACAAACCAGTTGTACTATATGAGTGAGTTCAACTTGAGTTCTACTCAGAAAAGGTATGGTCTGGTGCAATGCAGCAGAGATCTTACAAATGAAGGGTGCAGACAGTGTTTGGAGGCCATGTTAGCACAAGTTCCCAAATGTTGTGAACAAAAGATGGGTTGGCAGGTTTTGGCTGCAAGTTGTCTCATAAAGTATGATGATTATATGTTCTACCTTTTTCACAATCAACAATCTGCAGTTCCTGTGCCTAATTCTCAAACAGGTGACACATCAATTACGTTTTTGTTCTCTTATAAAATTATCTTTATAATCACCTTATTCTGGCGTAGGAATTCCCTTGGAGTACTTGTTTCTTTTTGTTTATTTATTGAATTTTATCAAAAAAAACCACACAAGCATACGAAGCCTTACACTTGTATATTTATAAAGAAGCTGTTGCGGATTCGAACAATAACCTTTCAGTCAGTCATAGAGGAGCAGCTTTACGATTGCTCCAGATTATTGAATCTTACAAATTCTTCTTTTATACTTTTGCAGCCAAACAAGGGGTTACTAGTAAGTCGAGAAAATTGATCATTGGATTAAGTGTGCTGGGGTCAGTAGCTCTAGTATGTTTCGGTATTTACTGTTTCTGGTGCAGGATTAGAGTTAGAAAAGGTAATTTACTGTAATAACACATGCTAGAATTTGTTTGATAACTTACTTCACATACTCAAATATGACCAATTGGTTCAAATATGAACTCAAACAAACTTCTAATTGTAGATGCGCTGATACTTGATACAATTCCTTTATCTTCATACAACAATGTTGAAACTGAGGAAACACTGAATACGGACCTGCCTACAATACCATTAATCACAATTCTACAGAGTACTGGTAATTTTTCACAAGCTTCTAAATTAGGGGAAGGTGGATTTGGCCCCGTTTACAAGGTATATTAATGATTTGGATATTTGAATTTAGGTTCTTTATTATTATCATATTTTAATATATGCTTTTAATTCATTTAAATCTTTTATCAGGGAGTTCTACCAGATGGAAGAGAGATTGCAGTCAAAAGGCTCTCCAAAGCTTCTTGTCAAGGCTCAGAGGAGTTCAAGAATGAAGTAAAGTTTATTGCTAAATTGCAACATCGAAACCTTGTAAGACTTTTGGCATGCTGCTTGGATGAAAATGAAAAGTTACTTGTATATGAGTATTTGCCGAACTCAAGTCTCAACTTTCACCTATTTGGTATGTTTTGAGATTGCTTCATTTAATAGTGTTGATTGTACCTTTTAGTTTTTTTTGCTGTAAATTCAATGTACAAGACTTTTCAACTTACGAGAATAGAGGTAAGGGTTGATTGTACGCAACCTTACTATTCCATTTTCACAAAGAAACTTTTTCAAACTCGAACCCATGATCTTCCTTTTACAAGAAGCAACCTTAAATTTTTACTGCATTTTTTTCTTTTTAACATTTTGAGTTGTAAATTAGTATGGATAAGGTCTGTAGAGACAATTCAGGTTATCCTGCTGTGGGTTATAAAGTAGTTTGGGTTTAAGGCAGAAATTTATTGCATATTATGACTTTAGGTGGGAACACCAGCAGTGCTGTACGATCGTGATGTCTCATGTTTTAAAGAGCAATAACTCATGATCATAATACCCAAGAAAGTTATAGCACTTTTATTTTTTCTTGTTCATAGTGAAACTAAATTTAAAGTATTATTTTGCAATCAAAAATCATGTTATAAGCGGGAAAAAGGCAATATGTAAAAATGTGAGTGAATAAATAATTCTGGTATTTTTTCCAATGTTAAGGGCAATACTTACTATTTGGTATTTACTAGTTTCCTTAAGTTTTCTGCTTCATATACTACATTTTCGTTAAGATCTCTTCTATGTCTTTATGATGTCAGATGATGAAAAAAAGAAGCAACTTGATTGGAAACTAAGATTAAGCATTGTCAATGGAATAGCAAGAGGCCTTTTATATCTTCACGAGGACTCTCGACTCAGAGTAATCCATAGAGATCTCAAAGCTAGCAATATTCTATTAGACCATGAAATGAATCCCAAAATATCAGATTTTGGATTGGCAAGGGCATTTGAAAGAGGCGAGAACGAGGCAAACACAAGAAGAGTAATGGGTACTTAGTGAGTTCTATTTATACCAAACATTTCTTTTAAACAATAGGATTCATGAATGCAGTTTTAGGCACTTCATTAGTTGAAAAATGAAATTCCTTGTTATATATTTATATTCATTGATGTAAGAGAAATAACAAAGTTGTATTGATTTCCAACAGTGGATACATGGCTCCAGAGTATGCTATGGAAGGACTATTTTCAGTGAAATCTGATATTTTCAGCTTTGGAGTTCTTCTTGTGGAAATCATTTGTGGAAAAAGGAATAGTGGATTCCATCTATCAGAACGTGGTCAAAGTCTTCTTTCATATGTGAGTTTTCACTCTTATTTCATAAATATAATTATTTTAATTTATGGCTGACTCGCTATTCCTGACATCAACCCTCATCCTTTATCATCCTGATTTGGGTTAGGCCATGCAAACATATATACATACATACATAGGCCAAGTTAGTTTTCACTCTATTTGATCAAGAAATTATACAAGTGTTAAAACTAGAGCTTAACAATATTCACAATTACTTGCAGACTTGGAGAAAATGGTGTGAAGGAAAATGTTTGGAATTGATGGATTCGGTATTGGAAAAATCTTGCATAGCCAGTGAGGTTGTGAAGTGCATACACATTGGTCTGTTGTGTGTTCAAGAAGATGCAGCAGATAGACCAACCATGTCAAATGTTGTTGTAATGCTGGCAAGTGACACAATGGCCCTTCCAAAACCAAACCACCCCGCATATTCAGTTGGAAGAATGAACTCAGGGGAAGCATCTACTTCAAAAAGTTCCAACAATCCTTCCATTAATGACTTGACAGTCTCTAACATTTTACCAAGGTAATGGATACCTGGATGAAAACCTCTTTCCTTATATAAGTGAGATGACGTCTTATACTCAATCTTACCTTTATATATTTGTGAAGAATCTATTTCTCTTTAGGTCAACTTTACACTAGTTGGAAAAAAAAAAAGAAAAAATTTTCTTTGCCATTGTGGAAAATCTTGTAACAGAATGAAGAGCCTCTAGTAAATTAGAAGCATTTTCCGTTTTGGACATGTTCTGAGGAGACTCCTAAGTGATAATCTAAATCTATATTGTGAAAATTTTGAAAATATCTTAGATTACTTTGGTTGCAGTTTGCACTGTTTAAGTTGTAATCAAATACAGATCCTGTTCATAATTTACTCTTCAATATTGCTTTGGGACCGTGATTCGTTTTCTTTATTGCAGTGTGGTCCTAGCTGCTCCCCGTTTTAATTTCTATGTTCACAAAAACGTGCTACATTGTGCTCTATATAAAAGAAAATCTAGTGTGTGCTTACTTAAGTAGTTAACTGTACCAAAGAAATATATATATGAATTTAGTGTTTGTACAGTTATGTCATTTTATGAAAGAGAATGATATAAGCAACGGAAATCATTAGAGAGAAAGTAGGTGATTTTTTTTAAAAAAATTAAAATAAAAATAAAAAAATACTAAATTATATCTTTCTCTCTCTTAAAATAACACAATTATATGTTCTTTAAAAGAAAAAACATTTTTCCATATACATATATAGGGGCAGGATCCTTTGACACTAGTGTCAAATTTTAAAATTTGATACCAAATCCTAACCGTTGATTTCCGTCAATCAACGGTTATCATTTTCGTCAATCAAACTAATTAATTAATTATTAATTCTCAATAAATGATAATTGTTGATTGGCAAAAATCAACGGTTATGATTTAGTATCAGATTTCAAAGTTTGACATCGGTGTCAAAGGATCATGCCCCATATACATATATATATATATATATATATATATATATATATATATATATATATATATATATATATATATATATATACGAGGACGGTTCCGTTTACAAATTACTCTAAGTATGACCAGTCAGACATAGTGTAGTTTGTAAACAAAAAGTTTGTAAATATAATTTTCTCTTATATATATATATATATATATATAAGAGAAGGATCAGTTTACAAACTTTTTGTGAAATTTTTTACAAATTACACTATGTTCTCCCGGGAGAACATAGTGTAACGAGTGTTCTCCCGAGAGAAGATAGTGTAATTTGTAAAAGTTTGTAAACAAAAAAGTTTGTAAATATAATCTGCCCCATATATATATATATATATATATATATATATATATATATATATATATATATATATATATATATTCCATATATTTATAATAGTTATATAAATTTTTTTATTTTTACTTTTTGGTAAACAATGCATATTTTTATTATTTGGTAACTTTTATTACTTAATTATAATTTTGACAAAATAGTAGGCATTCTTTTCTATGATATTTTATTTATTTTTAGAAATAATAAGGGTGGCAAAAACGTGTCAGCGGGTTCATGTCGTGTCAAGTTTAACCTGTGGGTCAAATTGTCCAACTCGGACATGACACATTTTTGTTCTTAGGTCAAAATTTGTAACGAGACACAACTCGCCACACGTTGTGTTACATAGGTTGACCAGAAAAATTTAAAATTTATTTTTTTCTAAAATAATGAAAAATAAAAAGTAAAACTGAATACAATATGCGGATTTACCTATGACCCACAATGGGCTACTTCAAAATTATCAAAATTTCAACTTTTTATTTATTTTTTTATCAAAAAATCTTTGCGGCTTAACACACAGGTACCATGACACGACACTAATCCTTGTCATTTATCCAAACTTGCACACAACCCTTTCTATCACGCAGGTCGACAAAACTTGCATTTTAACTTGTTGTGTCACAGGTGTTGATACGTTTAGACACCCCTCATAGTTGAAGTTTTGTTCATGCATTTGATTTGTAAGGTATATTAAATGATTATTTAGTTTCAAAATAATTTTTATTTTAAAATTTTTATTTTTTTTTTTCAAATTATTTGTCATCTTTAAAATATGAAAAGAATTTTTTTTTCGATAATATGAAAAGAATTTTTCAAAAAAATAAATAAATTGGTGGATCTTTAATTTTCAATTTTATTATTATTATCTACGTATAATTTTACTAAATAACATGAGAGAGAATTAGAGGTCAAAAAGTGATTTGGTAAAGAATAATAATATAAATAAAAATAAAATAATAATAAAACTAAAATGGCAATTTTCTTATCTTTTTTTTAGTAAAGAATAATTCCATTTATTAATTTACAATAGTTATCACTAATAGCTATAGAATTTCACATTACATTAATTTATGAGTAAATATCCTTTTGGGTCCCTAACAAAAACACGGTTCCCATTTTAGTCCCTTACAAAAAAAAAATTAGTCGTCCGGTCCCTAAGAAACTCAAAGTGGATCCACTTTAGTTCTTTTGAGGGATTAATGTGGGTCTTTTTTGAATTTGTGAAGGACCACGATTTCATCTAAACGGACCCATTTTGAATTTCTTAGGGACATCGTCAAGACTAATTTTTTTTTTGTAAGGGACTAAAGTGGAAACCGTGTTTTTTATTAGAACTCAAAATGGTATTTACTCTTAATTTATTCATTTATGAATTCGAGCTTTCGTTTAGGGTCGAGCTGATGTGTGTCTGCCGAGGTTGATACTTGGCTGAGGTATTTTAAGATCTTTGCTAAGATCGTCCTTGTATTAAGATACTTGGCCGAGTTTGATAGACGTCTATGTCTCAAGTTAGGCCAGTTCAGGTTGGTGCCACACTGAGGTGAAGGTTTCGGACGTGTATGACGTTGTTGATGTAACACCTCATTATCGAACTGGTGTGTTATCATCAATTATGATATTAATGGCAGTTACAATCACAACAGCTCATTAGAAAATACGGGGGGGGAAATTTAACAATGCTTGTATTTTTAAAACAATTGTATTAAACATTTTACAAACTGTTATCATAACTCAAAACTATTGCGAAAACATAAATGCTATAGCTTAACATCATACAACATGGATTTAAAGTTGTTAAGTGGTTCCCATAAACAAACAAAGTTTAATTACACAATTTGGCGTTTAACAAACTTAAGGTACCTTCGGTTTTCTCAAAATTGCAGATGCACTACATGTCCATAAATTCTCATCTTTTAGTATGTTAAATTAGACTCTTCTAAATTTTCAATGAGGTATCACACGCCTTAATTGGAGTTCTATAACTTCAGATATACTTGTTGTAAGTTAATTCCTTAAAATTGTCAACACTGCATTTTCGGGTTCACTAAGTTCCCTTACTATTTTCAAAATTACGGACGTTCTACTTATCTGTTTGCCCCAAAATTTTAATATGTCCTAGTCGACACCTTTATCTTTATTTTGATATATCATAAGCCTAATTTGGGTAACAAATGAAAGAGATATAGAATTTTGAAAAACGTAGACAGAGGTTGCCTCCAAATCCGCCAAACAGGGCAGTTTGCACTCATTTCGATTCTGAGAAAGTTCCTCAAGTCATAATTGTCCTTTATTTTAGGAAAATAAAGAGGAAATCCTAAGCTTTAAAATGGTATCTTGTACACCACATTTGACCAAAAATTAGGGAAATATCGATCTCAAAAGTTAGGGTAAAAATCTCACTATTTTTTTGGAAATTTCGGCAGGATGTGTTTGTTTCTGCAACTAATCACATTATTTCAATTGTACCTAATTGACATTGGAATGGAATCCAAAGGCCCAAGAAACCTTGGTGCAATTACATCCTCAACATTAGCCCATAATATGTCCATCACTAAATAATAATTAAATAACGATTATTAAATGCATGATTTAATTATTTTAATTAATTTAAGTTCAAGCATCTTTTTGTGAAAAGAATAAATATTGAGGGTTTCACGTTGAAAATGCAGTAGGAAATATTGCACGAAACTTAGAGATAATTAGAAATTATTATTCCATAAATTTTATGAAGTTAATGACAACAAAATATTTATGGTAATATTAATAGGAAATATTAGTCATTGAAATGTAGTCATTTTTTATGAAAAATGTTGATACTGAGGGTACCGCAGTAGAAATAGCGGGTATAGAAAAATACCTGGATCTAAAAATAAATTATAGTTTTATACGTCATAAAATTTATAAGACGTGGTGGTACAAAATTATTAGAGATTTAAGGACATAAACTGTGTGGGTTATTATCGGCGAGTTAAGTGAGTGTCAGATATAAAGTAAACTTTCTCTCTCTCATTTTCTTATTCTCTACGTAGACTCCCTTCGTACACTTCTCACATTGCTGCCATCTTCTCTTCATCATGGTTCCTCTTCAAGAAAAACACCAAAACACTATTTTTCCTCCTTTTTTCACCATGAAAACCTTGTAGATACTTGAGAGCAAGGCTTGTAAAGAAGAAAGACCTCTTCTTGGGTTGTTATAGATTTTGCCTTGTGAGGTTAGAGGAATGTTCTTCTTTGTTAAGTGTGTTGGAGGCATTTACACTACCATTTGCGCACCAAGGAGCCATATTTGAGAAGAAAGAACCATCCTTGGCCAATCCATTTTTGTCCACTTGTCTTAGCAGAAGTATAGTGTGAGTTTGTGACCTTGAAAGTCCATCATTTTCTCTGTTTTGAAGCTTTGGGTGTAAACCTCAACTCTTCTCTTTGAGTTTCTTTGAAAAGAATGGATTTTTAACATGTAAGTTGAAAGAACTAAGTAACCTTGATGAAAGCAAGAATGAATATATATAAAAATGATAGCTTGGACTTCTGTTGTGGGTAAAAATTGAACCTTGTAGGAAAACTTCTTAAAAAATGCATTTTTGGAAAATTTTCTCAAAATATCCCCATATTGGAAAATCAATATCCTGATATCGATATCCCGATATTGATATCCCGATGTTCCTTCATCAATATCCTGATATTTTGGTGTGGACAACAACGAACCTATTTTATTAAAAACTTGATATCTTATGATACAGAGCTCCAAATTGAGTGAGGTTTGCACCTATGTGAATCTAACACGTAGGTATACAACCTTTAAATTTTGTGCGTGCAACTCTCCAACGCTTGACCTTTCAACCCGGTCAGTAATCCTTTCTTGTTCAGGATCTCGAGCCTTTTCTCGCTCATGCGGCCGAGGAGCTTGTGCCATAGCTCCAAGCTAGGTCCATCT